TACCATTATAGGTAAATGGTCCAGAAGGGGCGTCATGAGATAACCAAAATAAAATAAAAGGGAATACTCGACATAGGACGACCCAACATGTAATACAAACTTATACATATCACATACGTGCCTATAAGACCAAAATGATCACTCGTACACTGAACATAGGCCGACAAGTCCATACAATCTTTCATATACATGACATCTATCTACAAGCCTCTAAGAGTACATAAACGTCATAAATGTTGGGACAGGGCCCCGCCATACCAATAAATACATGTCCAAAGCATACTGACCAAATAAGTAAGTCCAGAGCAAGTAGAGTGTACGAACACCTTCTGTTGAGATGATAGCCTACTAGGAGGACACTCAACCTGTCCCTCCGCACCTGTGGGCATGAATGCACCATCTCCAGGAAAAAGTGAAATCAGTACAAATAAAGTACCGAGTATGCAATGCATGAAAAGCAGTATATAATAGACATGAAAGAAACATGGAGTGAAAGACTCAACATGTAAGTCTAAATAACACTGCGAATCATGAGACGCTTATAATGTCATACATATGTGTATAAATGTCATATCATGCATAGGTATATGCGTACATAACATCATCAAGCCTCTGAGGGCATCCCATAATATCATTTCGGCCACTGTGGGCGAAATCATCAACGTATACTAGCTGATCAGGTGGTGGTACGTATATAACGCCATAACAATTCCACATACCTCATATACATATAATATACGCGTATATAACGCCATCTGTTCATGGGTCAATGTACATGTATAAATAAAGGCAATGCACAATGAAGTAAGTCAATATGATCTCTCGGAATGTCATAAGATCATTATGCCTTCGATTAATATAATGAAATAAACTTTATCAGCTTGCGTATTTTCTGAGACCCATGAACATATAATATAATAATAGGACACATGGAGAATAAATAACATAGGCATCCCTAGTACTTCTATGAATAGAGTCATTTGTGAAAGTTTCACATTTACTCGTTTCGTTTGTGTCATATGGATCATGCCGAAAGGAAAGAAGGGATAGCCTTAACATACCTCAAGTCATCAATGCAACTCAACAAAAGCTTATGACAACTAGAGCGCCAACCTTATAACGAAGAAATACATGTGCAACTTAGATGGAGCTAGTATATCACGTATCTCAAACGATAACTCGATTCTAAAATAAAACGGGCAACATTTCCCCTGATTTTACTGCTCTATCAAGCCTACTATAGGCGATACAACAACATAATACAACCAAAAACTCGAAAACAACCTACTACAATTCGGGACCTTTAATCCAACCAAAAACCCCAAATATACCATAACACACCCAATGAACAAGTTATCAATTAGCTCAAAATTTCAACGACGAGCGACCAGCCCACTACCATACGATATGTAGCATTTCTCCACACCCTTTTATACTTCAAAACACCATAATCAGTAGCACAATAGGCCAACAGGGGTGGACTACAAAATAGTCCACTAAAAGTGAAATAAATCGAACTCACGGCTTCTGATCACCGCCCCGTGAGTTCTAACTATTAGGAAATAAATTTATCAACCTTCCTTGATATTTAAAATCTTAAATACAAAATGTAGGTATTTTATTAACCATGAAGTACCTTCCTAAACTCAAACTAGAAGAAAAAATGAGGCGGTATAATGATACTTTCGTCGTACGGATCGTTCTAATGTTATCGCTTCTTGATTTCGTGAAAGGGATGTTGATCTTGCTTGAAATTTCTTGGACCAGTAATTGGAGAGCTTGAGAGTGTTTTGGTAAGTATTCTTTGTATTTTGACGACATATAAGGGGATAAGACCACTTATTAGCCCACTGCCTCAACTCTCCAAGCAGGTGGATAAGTTGCCTGCTTGGCAGCTTTAGTAGTCTAACTTCGGACACTTGTATCTCTCTACTCCGATATTGTATTGACAAACGGTTTTCAGAGTAAAAACTAGACATATGGCGCTTTAATTTCATATAAATATCTCCCTATAAGTATCAATATATTGGGAGCGTCGCAATCTGGCCTATAAACCTGCCAGTTTTTCCGAAGTGCGGCGACGTGACTTGGCTACCGTACTTTAAAAATCCTTATTTTTCTACTCGATGTCACATGAATAAATGGTTCGGACCCTTGGAAACTATGTTCCAAGACCTTCATTTTTGTATGAGCTAAGTCCCAAAATTACATCATAAAGCTTACGAATTTAATTTATCAAAATGGCTTGTTATAAGGCAATTCTTAACTCGATTTTTTCATAAGTTAAATCCGATTTTCCAACCATTATATTTTATATCCAAACATCATATATAGTCATATTATTACATTAGACTCATTTAAATCATGATTAACAAGTCACATTCATCATAACTTACTTAACACTTCGATAAACCTTCCTTAAACTTGTAGAAGAATTTCATCCTTTTTTAGCTTACATCAATTGACTTACGACGCACTTTCACATACGAAAACATGGGGTGCATTCTCCCCTTTACAACATTCGTCCTCGAATATGACTGATGCGCTTATAATTCTGGTAACTTATAGCTCTTACAATTACTTTATTACTCTCCTTGCCGTCTAGGCAACTGTTCTGTGAATAAATCCAAAGGCCAGGGCATTCCCCCCTTTAGGCCTCTTTCTCACACTACGACTTATGATCGGACTTCTTCCAATCTCATAACTGTTGCTACCGTCTGTCATGCAGCATGTACGACTCTGACCTTGTATGTGCACCTATACGACTCTTCTCTCTTTTTTCCTCCAGCTTTTAGCCAATTTCTAGGCCTCACTTTGTGAACATATACAAAATTATGACAACTTGTCCCTCTGGAGATCTATAGGCGTACTGAATATCATCGCTTGATACTTTGTCGAACATGCGACTATTGTTGTATCTTGTTTCATAGCCTTGTATATTAATGCTTATGGCTTTACTGCATCTTGGTTGGCTATACTATACCATAACACTTAAGTAAGTTTGTCTGTTAACTAACTCCAGGTTACTCTCTCACTGCTTATCCTATATGTATGAATCTAAGACCTTTAATGCTTCCTTATTACTGTTCATCTAAAGAATGACATCTTAATTTGATCTCATACTTTGGAACTTCTATCCATCTATTGGTGGTTCACCTTAATGTTGATCCATAATCTACCGCTGATAACTTGAAACCTCTTACGTAATACATTGTAATTAGGGCTCACGTCGCATCGGGGAACATTTGAAGTGATTTGCCTGATCCACATAGGGACGATGCTGTACTTTAATAATGGTATTTTCATAACATCATAACGTGATTTATCTTATGGGGTATTCTAATTATGTGCAATTCATGAAACCCCTTTTCTTTAAATCATTATTCAATCAAAGGGATAAACGTCATCCTTTTATCTATCACAATTACACCCTTATTCTACTACCAGGCAGCATTTGATCTCTCATAATTGCTCCTAGTCTTAGACGCCTCCAAGTTCATTTAGGCTGCCAAGCTTTCTATAACTTACGGAAACCATTAGCTCTCTTGTTTTGATGGGCTTACTCCCGAGGCCATACATATTCTTGTCACCATCTCACCCACCTTTTCTTATCCTTGCTCCTATCTACCTAACACTTTGTCACTTACCATACTTTAGCTTGCGACCTATACATATCTATTTATACTACTCGCAACCTTCCATTAACTTGCTCGCACCATAAATTTCCTTTTGTGTCTTCTCAGTTGCCTTTAAACATAAGCAGTTAGTTTTCCTGGTCGTTCTGTTACTTGCTGCATGAGTGCTTGGCTTATCTTTGTGCTCACAAATACTGGAATTTCTAGAAACTCATATGATCTCAAATATCACTTTTGATTTTTGTATATGGTAAAATCGGAGAGATCGATTTTCCGTCATTGTGATGCGTCATAAATATATTTCACAAGGTCGAGACTAAGGTCGAGGTTCACCCTCGAGGGCTATCGATGCTCGACCTCGGGGCGATGTAGACCTACGACTACAATGGAAAAGTGGGGAGTTCCCAAGGTCCATAACTAGGGCTGACAAAGTCTAGTAAGCTAAAATCAGACCCGAATCATAACTTCAACTAGTTGTCCCATCTCCATATCTTTGTAATAAATACGTTTGTACTATGTGGGGATTGCCCCTCCCATATAAAGGTGATCCTTGTCATTTTCTAAGGTTCTGTTGCTCCATACTAAAATACACAAGAACATTCTCTCTGCTCTCTAACATATTCTCTTGAGTTCATTACTCCATTTATTGCTTGCATTCATTGTGCTCTCTTTATTGTTCATCATTTATTTCTTATTATTGGCCATAAATAGCCGTCATTGATTTTATCTAATTGTAAGTCGCCCATCGATTACCCCCGATAGCTCTCAGCCGAGCTCCAGACCTGACCCCGAGGCCCTCGAATAAGCAAGCTCGAGGCCCCGACTATTACTCATTCAGTTTGGTTATCACCTTATTCTCCAACTCCTATCTCGTTTCTAAGTCTTTCACTATAGCATCAACTTCTTAAAAACTAGTATAAAAATAGATCACGCATTTTTAGAATCCCCATCAAATTTAATTGTTATTACCATTCTCACGGTTAACTGTTTGGCGCCCACCATAGGGCTAAAAATAATAGTGATTATTTTCTTGCTGGTTTTACTACACAGCGCAAGTTATCTTTCACACTTATTTTTGCCCGAGATATTCGATTTCAGGTGAAAATGCCTAACTTAGTAAACGGAGGTGAAAACAACAATCCTGAGGACCACGGAGAGAACGGTGTGAATGTTCCAGATGTTGATGTACCACCGCAAGACTTTGAGAGTACGCCGAAACCAATTCCCGAATTGACGACCTCACACAACACTCAACGCGGTAATAACGGTCCTCACATTAGCAAGGGAACACACCGAGAGATTCAGCAGGAAATCTGGAAAAATCGGACACGGGCTGAGAGAGAGATTTCTTAGCATGTCATTCATATGATCATCGGGGGGACCGACATTCCCCAAGAACCTGTGATCAAACGGATAAAGATAACCGCTGCAATAGAAGGGCCGATCCGAGACTGCTTGATTGAAGACACCCTTGATTTTAGCGAGGAAGATTTCGGGACCTTAACACAATCACAGTACGACGCACTTGCAATTTCATTTCTTTTAAATAGCATTCTAATTAGACGTGTGCTCGTGGACCCAGGCAGCTCAGCCAACGTAATCAGGTCAAAGGTAATAGAACAACTCGGGCTACTTGACCAGATCGTACCCGCCTCCCGGGTCCTCCACGGCTTCGACATGGCCGGTGAAATAACGAAAGGGGAGATCTCCCTCTCGGTTGACATGTCCGGTACAGTTCAGAACACAAAGTTCCACGTTATTGGTTGTGACATGAGGTACAACGCATTGCTTGGAAAGCGGCGTATACATAGCATGAGGGCACTGCCATCAACTCTACACCAGATGACCAAGTACCCAACAAAGGATAGTATAACAACCATATATGGAGAACAACATGCGGCAAAAGAAATGTGCGCGGTTTATTAGGAGGCACCGAATCCTATACGCTCTACCCCGGATGAGTTTGGGAGCGTACGAACACTCGAAGATGATGAAGAAGATTTCCTCGCTCCTCGAACTTTTGTTTCCCCCAAAGAGTCGGATGCAACATAATCGACAATTGAAAAACTGGAGCAAGCTGTTTTGATCGATCATCTCCCCGATCGGAAGGTATACCTGGATGCGGGATTAACCCCCTAACTCAGGAAAAAACTCATTCAATTCCTCATTAATAACATCGACTGTTTTGCTTGGTCCCACTTAGATATGACAGGTATCCGGCCGGAAATAACCACCCCCACCGATTGAGTGTTGACCCCAGGTTTAAACCGGTGAAGCAAAAACGAAGACCCCAGTCCGAGATAAAACACGCGTTCATCAAGCACGAGGTAACGAAACTCCTTAAAATAGGGTCTATTAGAGAGTTAAAGTACCCCGACTGGCTGGCCAACGTAGTAGTAGTGCCCAAAAAGGGAAATAAGTTAAGAATGTGTGTAGATTATAAAGACTTGAATAAGGCATGCCCCAAGGATTCATTCCCATTACCCAACATCGATAACCTGATCGATTCCACGGCTGGCCACGAGACCCTCACCTTTCTCGACGCCTACTCATGGTATAATAAAATACAGATGAACCATGAGGAAAGGGAAAAGACTTCGTTCATCACGAAATATGGTACATACTCTTACAATGCAATGCCCTTCGGGCTGAAAAACGCAGGGGCCACATACCAACGTCTAGTTAATAAAATGTTCGAACGTCGAATAGGCAAATGTATGGAAGTTTATATTGATGACATGCTAGTTAAGTCCCTGCGCGCAGAGGACCATTTGATTTATTTGCAGGAAACATTCGACATCCTCAGAAGTCACGACATGAAGCTTAATCCCGAGAAATGTGCCTTCACAGTGGGTTCGGGAAAATTCATAGTCTTCATGGTGTCAAACAGGGGGATCGAGATCAACCCCGATAAAATCAAGGCCATCGAAGAAATCACTGTGATAAATAATGTAGAATCAGTACAACGACTGATAGGATGGATAACAGCTCTAGGCAGGTTCATATCGAGGTCATTGGACAGAAGCCATCATTTCTTCTCTTTACACAAAAAGAAAAACAACTTTGAATGGAATCCAGAATGCCAACACGCCTTGGAAGAATTGAAGCGATATTTGACCAGCCCGCCTTTTCTCCACACGCCAAAAGAGGATGAAATGTTGTATTTGTACCTGGCCGTGTCTGAGATAGCGGTAAGCGGTGTGCTCGTTCGAGGAGAGCAAGGTGCGCAATTCCCTATCTATTATGTAATCCGAACCCTGGTGGACGCCGAGACCAGGTATCCGCACCTGGATAAATTAGATCTTGCGCTAATAAGCGCATCACGAAAATTGAAGCCTTATTTTCAGTGCCACTGTATTTGCGTTTTAACAACGTACCCTCTCCGTATCATATTGCATAAGCCCGAATTATCGGGACGATTGGCCAAATGGGCCATCGAACTCGGGGGATATGATATCGAGTATCAACCCCGAACGGCCATCAAGTCCCAAATTCCGACGAACTTCGTGGCCGACTTCTCGCCCTCCCTCGTGCTAGAGGTAGAAAAGGAACTCTTACTAAAAGCAGGCACATCTTCCGGGGTGTGGACCCTGTTCACCAACGGCGCCTCGAACGTTAGAGGATCCGGACTCGGTATAGTCCCGAAGCCACCCATGGGCGGCATGATCAAGAAATCTATAAAAACAACAAGGTTGACTAACAACGAAGCCGAGTATAAGGCTGTGATTGTAGGTCTGGAATTAGCCAAAAGCCTGGGAGCTGAGATCATCGAGGAAAAATGCGATTCGCTCCTTGTAGTAAATTAGGTAAATGGGAGCTTTAAGGTCCGAGAAGACAGGATGCAGAGATACCTGGACAAAATCTAAATCACATTGCGCCATTTCAAAGAATGGACCCTGGTCCATATACCCCGAGAGCAAACAGGAAGGTCGATGCCCTCGATAACCTGGGATCATCTGTCGAAGAGGACGACCTACTCCCCGGGGATGTTGTTCAGCTATCCAAATCAGTGGTCGAGGAAGGTCATGCCGAGATTAACTCCACTAGCCTTACATGGGACTAGAGAAATAAATATTGACTATATGAAAGATGGGAAACTACCCACGGATCCGAAAGAATCGAGGGCCCTGCGTACCAAAGCAGCCCGATTCTCGCTCGATGAAAGAGGAACTCCTTACATGAGAACCTTTGATTGCCCTCTAGCCGTATGCCTAGGGCCAGGAGATACCGATTATGTGCTCCCGGAGATCCACGAGGGAACCTGCGGAAATCACTCCGGTGCCGATTCCTTAATTCGAAAAATAATCATGCGAGGCTACTATTGGGACAACATGGAAAAAGACACTAAGGAATTCATCCCAAAGTGCAACAAATGCCAGAGGTTCGCCCCTATGATTCACCAACCGGGCGAACAACTACATTCGGTCTTGTCGCCATGGGCGTTCATGAAATAGGGAATGGTCATCGTCGGGCCCCTACCAACGGCACCGGGTAAAGCTAAATTTATTTTGTTTATGACTGACTATTTTTCAAAATGGGTGGAAGCGCAGGCCTTCGAAAAAATAATAGGAAAAGAAGTCATTGATTTCATCTGGGACCGCATCATGTGCCGATTCGGGATTCCTTCCGAGATAACATGAGATAATGGGAGGCAGTTCATTGGAAGCAAAGTAGCATAGTTCTTCGAGAATCACAAAATCAAAAGAATCCTGTCAACACCTTACCACCCATCTGCAAACGGCCAAGCCGAGTCCACAAACAAAACCATCATCCAAAACTTAAAAAAGAAGCTGGAAAGCGCTAAGGGAAGATGGAGAGAAATATTGCCTGAATGTGGGCATACCGAACAATTCCAAAATCGAGCACAGGGGAAACACCTTTCTCCCTAGTATATGGTGCTGAGGCTTTGATACCAGTGGAGGTCGGGGAACCAAGCGCCATATTCCGACATGCCACTGAGAGCTCGAACAACGAGGCCATGACTACGGCCTCGAACTATTGGATGAAAAGCAAGAAGCCACGTTGATCCGAATGGCCGCCCAAAAGCAAAGAATTGAAAGGTACTATAACAGGGGGACAAACCTCCGACATCTCAGAGTCGGAGACTTGGTCCTAAGAAAAGTAACCCTCAACACTCGTAACCCTAATGAAAGAAAGTTAAGCCAAAATTAGGAAGGATTGTACCGCGTCCTCGGAGTAATCGAAAAGGGTCCTACAAGCTCGATTCCATGGAAGGCGAACAGCTTCCAAGCAATATGAATATATCAATGCTGAAACGATACTACTGCTAGGGTGTCTGATTGAAAATTCTAAAACACCCTCGAGCATGCATTGCACTCTTTTCCTTCGAAGGAGCCGAAGGATAAGCAAGCAGTAAAATAGCGATAACAAGCTACACTGTCGGCTTCTCCCGACTAAACAAAGCAGGGGACCGTACCGCGTCCTCATCACAAGCGACTGAAACACATTAGGGCTTGAAACATCACCTGCACATTCTACACAAAAGTATGACCGTCTACTTTCTCTTTCAATTACATTCTATAATAACCGGAGTGCAGGTATCTGATCGAAACGGCCAAAGCACTCTCTAACTTGAAGACCTTAGGTTTTGAAAGCATGCGTTGCACTATTTTCCTTCGATCGAAATTTGTCCCTAGAAGGGTTTTACTGGCAAGGTTTTGAACGAGGCAACATCCACATGCTACCTAAGGAAAACTCAACAAGTATTCAAGGCTTCTTTGGCAATCAACCTCGAATACTGGGGGGCATCCCCCCGGAAGGTCATCTACTCGGAGAAGCCAAGATACGCCGAATGGGGTCTCGATAGGAGAATAATCTACTGGGGCATACGGTCAAACGAACCGTGTCCATATAGAATAACCAGGCCCCTGACAGCGAAAACATGTATACCTTTACCAAGTAATCGAAGAATACTTTCCACCAAAGCATTTCGTGCTTCAAAAGAAACTCGGTATATTAGTGAAATTGGCTCCTCTAACAAAAACGTCCCAAACAATCGGGTACTGGTGTCAACAACTCAAAACAATGCGACCCTCGGGTCGGAGATCCTAACTCGTAAGCCCTCAATGAGGCGACATCTAGATCACAAAACAGCTCCAGAGCCAAAAATGTCCCGAACAACGGGGACTGGCATCGAAAACTCAAAGCCACATGATCTCCGGGTCGGAGACTCCGGAATCGTAAGCCCTCAAATGAGGCAACACCAAGTTTGCAAGTAATGGCTCCCGAGATGAAAAATCCTCGATAACTCGGGGACTGTCGTTAACCGCCATCTCCATCGCAATGGCTCCCGAGCTGAAAAATCCTCGACAACTCGGGGACTGTCGCCAACCGCCACCTATCAAAAACCCGAGGCCATAAGACCCCGAGCGGCCAGACTAGAACTCGTAAGACCTGCATAAGGCAACAACGACATCTGTAAGACCTCAAGCAAGGCATGAACCACACTTGTACCAAGTGACAACATCTGTAAGACCTCAAGCAAGGCATGAACCACACTTGTACCAAGTGATAACATCCGTAAGACCTCAAGCAAGGCATGAACCATACTTGTACTAAGTATCCAAACTGTAAGACCTCAAAGGCATGTAAGACCTTACTAAAGGCATAAACCTGATCTCAAAGTTAAGGTTATATATCGAACTTGTAAGACCCCTATAAGTCATACCCTCGATATAGACGCCAAAATTACTTCACTCGAGACTAAAAATGGCTCCGACTAAACATAAATTACTAAGGTCACAGGGCTGTACCAGCCAAACTAACGCGACTCAGGGACGCCCGACCGTCGCTAAAAAATCACAGGCCTTCAATTACTTAGAATCTACTTCGAAAAGAACCGATAAAACAGGCTATCCTCGACATAGGTAACAGAGCTTCAACCACGTCAACTCCAAATTACAGGC